TGCCAAGGGAATAAACATTACCTGTTCCCATCCACTGGAATACCAGAATCAGATTCCACAGTTGGCAGAAGAAACAAATCCAGAACACATGGGTTTTATTAAAATATGCATTTTATGGGTCAGCATTTCCAGATTTACACCTTATGTAAAATTCATGTTCTATCCCCTACAACCTGCCAATATTTAGCCTTTGAGAGCAGATAGAGTTTGATCACCTCTCTTCCAAACACCTTCAATCCACACTTTGAAGGTGATGTGTCTCCCAAAGGGCCAGCCCTTCTCACCCTAAAATACATCTTTAAAAACAAACAAACCACAAGCTTCCTGCAAAAAAACATTTGCACCTCTCAGAGAAGCCAGCCAAAGGATTTCCCTGCTTTTCTGGCACAAGTCACACAGCAGCAGCCCTCCCTACACAGACCCCTTGTGTAAGGTCCCCTGGTAACCCTGACCACATCCCTGAGCCACACACCCCAGGAAACACCCCTGCACCAGTGCTCCCACCCCTTACACATTCCCTGCCATGGCACAACACACCAAGCCCACCACATCAACCTGGCTCTCATCTGCAATAAATCTCAGTGCTCTCCTCAGCTCAGCTCTCAGGCACAGGTTCAGACCTGCAATTACTTGTGGGACAGTTATTTATTAGTCAATGTCCAGCTGCCAGATTTACAGTCACAGTTGCAGGCAGAAAACACCCACGTATCCATGTTTGTAAATAAGCTTCTGGAATGTCTGGATGACATGCAGATCCAGCTACAATTACTTAGGGGTGGAACAGAAAGGCCCTGTTAGGCCATGCCAAAATCCACCCCCAGAGCCTGCAAGCACAATGCCAGCAGATGTGCTGAATGAACCATCAGAAGCATCTCTAAGTCATCTCAGACCCCAGTGATACTAAACTCCACAAAAGGAAAGAAACAGCAAAGCTGCTCAACTGGGGGCTTGTTTTGTGGGTTTGATTTGGGTTTTTTTTAGCTAAAGAGCATCTGGGCCAAGAATCCCCCTCACCTGTGTTCTTGCACCATCACTGAAGTTACAGCTTGGTAGCAGACCTGGGAGTGATCCTGCCCTCTGGCAACCTAAGAAATATCTACTGCTGCCCAAATGGGCAATTTTCCATGGCCTGTCTGGTGCTATCACTGTTGATATGAAGTCTTGTAATCCAGAGAGTCACCACTGGGAGGTTTCCCATTGAAATCTCTCTGGGAAAGAGCCAAGTTCCTGGATAAGCTTAGACCTCAGCAACAGAATTACTGGCCCCAGCAGGATGGGAGCCAAGGAGATGGTGGCACAGAAACAGCTGCAGTGATGTCCACTAACACACAACACTTTGGTTTTGCATCTCCTCTAGCAGACAGCCCAAGGGGCAGAAGGTCTCTCATTGCAATACACAGGATAGACACCTGAAGCAGCCACTAATTTCTTATGAGGTCTGGGCCCTTCACAGCAGCTTCCCACACAAGCACTGACCCCATCAAACATAGGAGATGGCTGCTGGTGCACACAGGGCATTTGCAGCCAGAGCCCAGCCCTGAAACTATGCCTGTTGGGCCATACTCCATATTCCCCACCTCTCCTCAACACCCATCTCCAGCCCTCATGGCATGAGGTCCAGCTCCATTGTTTCACTAACCCATCTCTGATGCTAGAGCAGCAGAGACGGATGGCAGCTCCATCATTCCCAGGGCCTAAGGGACACAGATCCTCAAGGACCTACAGTGCAAAAAGCAGATCAGGTTCAGAAGAAACAGAGTTTTACTCTCTGCAAAGCACGTGAGCAAAGGTGCCCTCACCCACCCTGCCAGGGTTGGGCAGGGGAGGCCAGGGCACAGGGAATCATCTCCTCAGCCAGAGCCACGTGTTGATGAGGCAGGTGGAGATCAGCACGGAGTAGACCAGGACCTCCTTCTGCCGCCAGGAGTTGCGCTGCTCCTCCAGCACACGGAGCCTCCCCGAGATCTTCATCAGCTGCAAGAGAAGCAGTGGGGCTGCTGTCAGCCCTGCAGCAAAGTACAGGACACTGGCCACACCCCGGAGGCAAGGGATGGAGGGATGGGAACTGCCATCTCCTTCAGGTCCTCCTTTTCTAGAGCAGCAGCTACCTTTGTGTGGGAGAATTAGCAGCAGGACCTCAGCTCCTGAGCAGATGCTTCAGGAAAAGGTCCTTCCCACCAGAAGAACATCTGAGCCCTTTACTGCTAGCAGATGGAGGGGTCTGGCTGTCTTCTGTAGCCCAGCTACCACAGACCTCCTCACCCACCCCTGTATGGCTTTCCCAGGAAACATTTGCAGCCCTTCACCTTCATCTCACCTGTTTTCTCATTGCTGCCATCTCAGCCATCCCAGCCTCCTCCAAGGTGCTCTCTGGGGCTGGGCCAGCCTCCTGGGAGCTGGGGAAGAAAAACAGGAGATGCAGACAGGCCAACACTGTTTGAGAGGTGCAACTGCCTTCCTGCACATGCAGCACTTGCCACCAGGAACCAAACCATGCAGGCATCCTGCACATGTCCAGGATGTGCTGGCTGGATGCAGCAACAAGAGGGAGGAAACAGCAGCTGTACAGCATCTACTCATCTCTTCTTAACCCCCATCATGCATATGAACACCCCTCCACCATGTACCCCACACTGATCCCAACAAAACAGAGCATATGCCACGGCAGACAGCAGGGAAAAAGCATGCTTGTTTTTCTTTGGGGATCCAACAGAGAGAAAGCTTTCTATTTACCAACCATCCATTCTCTATAGTCAAAGGAATTCACTGAGGGCTGGATAAATCATCTTTAGAGCCAGTCAGATAAATACATATCACAGGGCCAATGCTGAAATGGAGGGATGATCTCATTTACAGCAGCAGGTGAGGATCCCACTGGTGGGAAGCAGACATCAGCTGGGGACAACTATCTGAGCAAGTGCATCAGCCAGCAGAAAAGGGTACAGTGTTTACTGAGGCAAGCATTTGTTTCTTTCCAGTATCTATCTCCAGCTAAACCAAACTCAGTTTCCCCTCCTGCCCAATTAAAAATTATCACTTTTTTGCTCATACAGCACATTTTACCTGCAACCTGAAACATAAACAAGCAACCCAAATTATGCACCACTTTCTTCTATCCCTGGAAACAAAGGGATTAGCTGCTGCACTGGCAGAAGCAACAAAGACTATGGATCTCCAGGGCATCCCCTGGAGACATAGCCTGGCTGCAGGGCCTACAAGTCACAAAATAAAGCCACAAAATCAAGTAGAGCCAGAGTGAGAAAAAGGAAAACTGCCATTTTGGGTCCTAGTTCAAGGGCCAGCCCTATACCAGCTCTTCTATAATCACATCTCCCCTGTGCACACCAGTGACTTGCATGGTCACTCACTAAGACTGTACAGACCAAGTTTCTAATAGTGCTCCTCTGGAGACCTTGGGGAAGGGAGGGTGCTTAGTCCTGTTTGCAACATGCTGTTAATCTCCCTGAAGACAAGCCAGAACAGCATGCAGAGACTCAGTGAATCTCTGTTTGAAAATACATTTGAGAGATAATGTCTCCACATAACCCAGCTGCAGTGCAAAATGAAAGTCACAACAGAAAGAGAATCCAATTTTCCCCAGCACAGAGCCATTTAAAAGGGACACATCCTGCAGCTTTTGACTGAAAAATCCCAGTTGATTCAGGTGAACACCCTTTAGAGACTAGAAATTACTCTTCCATGACTCATAGCCTTCAAGCAGCCACTGTCAGGCAAATATTCCAGTCTCCAGCCCAGGCTACACTTCCCTTTATTAAAATTTCAGGACAAACAACCTGGCTCAGTCACTTTTTCATTTTTATTGTTGCACAGGGGTACAAAGTTGTCATGCAAGAGACACCATATACATCTGAAGTGATGCAAAGTACCAAGCAGACACATTTCAAGGTGTCTGGGTTCAAAGGGACATCAAGATCTGGGACTCACCTCACTGCATTACAGCAGCTCCACAAGCTACCACCTCTCAGGGTACCACAGTCTAAACCTCCTCCACTGCTCACGGGAGGAGGGAAAATGTCTTACACAGCCAGTAACTAGATCTGCCCAGACTTATACAAAAACTAATAAATGAAATTAAAAGCTACATTTGAAGACAGTCAGCCTGCTGTGGTTAAAAGCAGGACATCACTTTGCATTGTCCACAGACAGAAGCCAGCTCTGCTGCCTGCACCTCAGCAGCAGCTGAGGAGGGAAGGCAGGGTGTGCCACGGACAGCACCAGTGATGGATGCTCACTCTCCTCCCTTTCTGCCTGGAGGTCTTGCTGAAGGAGAATTAGAAGTATTTAGACATTCCTCCGGGTGCTCAGCAGCCTTAGAGCAGTGGTGACACCTTAAGGCTGCAACGATGTCTTTGAACACGCTACATGCACTGCACTTGCACAGATAAGAGTGTGGTGGTGGTGATAGTTGCTCCAGCACGTTCAGAGGGGTTGGAGGTCACTGCACACCTGCTCCAGTGAGCAGGCAGGAACACTGCACCCCATCCAGAGGCATCAGCTCTGGCACAAGTAACACAGTGCAGGCACTTTGTGGAAAAGGTTAATTAAGTGCAAGCAAGACACAGCCAAGGGTGCTGGGAGCCTGCAGGAGAGGGTGGCTCAGGGAGAGGACCAGGGTCAGGCCATTTGTTCTGGATTTTGATTCCCCTCACACATTTCTCTCCTTCAAACTATCAAGGCAGGCAGAAAACCTAGCACTTGCTTAGCAGTGAAGAGCAGCTGAGATCCCAGCAGCGTCCCCAGGGACGTTGGATCCCTGGAGGTGCCGGGCAGAACCACGTGAAGCGGAGCAGGAGACAGGACCTGGGTTAGCAGGGAACACCCAGACTGGCTGCACTGGGAGCCTCTGGGACAGGGCAGCCAGAGCTGGTGGGCAGGACAGCTGAGGAGAGTCTGGGGTTGCCATGCAGAACCATCCTGCTCCCCTGCCATGCAGCCTGCAGCTTCCAGAGCTCACATCTTAGCAGGTAAAGACAAGTCCTTGCAGAGTGACAGGGAAGAGGCTCAAGACAAACTGAAGTCACCTGGACACCACTGGGTCTTGCAGAGAGTCCTGAACATGGTGGAAGAGCACTTGGCCCAAGCGGTACATGGTCTGGAAGATGTTCTGCACGGAGTAGATCCTGCCCGTCTGTGCAAGGGGGGGGAGCTGAGCCCGCTGCGCCGGTGGGAGTGACACATCCAGCCTGGGGTGCACACACAGTCACCCTGTGACTTCCTGGCCCCATCCAGCACTGGCACAGCCTGGCATCTGGCAGTGCCCTTCATCCCTTCTGCAGCTCCACGCACCTCTGAGCAATGCCATCAGCACCCAGAGCCCCATGTCACCAGGGGGGAGAAGCCCCTGCAGCAGCCCCCCAGCTCAGGGGCAGTCACCCTGCTCCTCCAAAGCCAACCATGTCTGTGATAACCTGACCTTCACCAGCTGCTCTCACAGAGGTTGCAGAAGGCAGCTCTCCTGCCACCCAGGACAATCCTGGGCTTCTAGGGAAAAAGTGGCTCTGGTCTGGGATTAAGTCAAGAGACAATTTCTCCAGTGGAGGGACTCTGGAGCCCAAGGCCATGGATCACTATGATCATGCTACTGTTCAAATCTGTGCTCAAAGAACTGCAAAGCTCTTAGCCCAAACTGCCTGCAAGCACCGCAAGGTTCAAGAGCCCCTGTGGAACCCTGGTGCCACATTTACCAGTGGTCACCTACCCACAGCATTGTGCATCCTGGTGCTGGAGCAGGAGAGCACATTCAAAGCACTGAGAGGAAGATGGGCAGAGCCAAAGAAACTGGGACAAGTCAGAGTGGGCAGCAAGGTCCTCCTGGCCCAACGCCCTGGCAAGGACCAGCAGCACTCCCAGTGTGCTAGGAGAGGGGATGTGGTCTCCCATGTGCATCTCAGCAGAGAGCTCATCACCCTGGGGACCAACACAGCTGCCTTCAACACTGCCTGGCACAGACTGCTCTGACACCAGAAGCCATGTTCCTCTCATGCAAGGGTAAGATACCCCCCCACTCTGGAGAGCAGTCAACAGAGAGCATCAAAGAAGCACAGACAACAGGAGATGACGATTTCCACCCACCCCAGAGGGCCCCAGGTTTGTGCTCACCGCTCCTGGTGCTGGCCCGGGCTGTGCAGGACCAGCTGGGCACTGTCACTTGGGGCCCTCTCCTGCCGCATCCTGCTGCTCTGGTAGGCCTGTTGGCATCAAACACAGCCATGTGAGCACAGAGACCCTGCACAGGGTCAGCCCAGCCTGGTGCCCCACATGGTCTGCAGTGGCAGGAGCTTGTCAGCACAGGGAAAGCACTCAGTGGTAGGAGCATTCCATGAGCCCCAAACCTGGTGAGCTGATGCTGGAACAGGGTGAGGGTCACCAGCAAGGAGCCTGCTGATCTGATCTCTATACAGATCAAAAAGCCTGAACCTAATGCATGTGGAAATGGCTCTTGAATCTCAGGGAAGTGAAAGCATTTGAGAAGGCAGATCAGCAGCTCCAGCAGCCAAAACAAGCCTTTGCCCACCCATGGCAGGGGTCTTTCCTTGAACCAGTTTCACACAAGATTAATATCTGCTTTCATCTCTGACATCAGAACCCTTTACACTGCAAAGCTGAAACAGCTCTGTCTCATACTTCAGCCAGGAGAGTCAGTGGTTGTGAAAGGACTTTAAAAGTAGCAGAAGGAGGTTGTGGGAGGACTGCACCTTCCTCAGCAATCTCCTGCAGCAGGCACTCTGGCTGAACCAATGTCCCAGCATGCAGGTGTGCACTGATTATGGGACAAAGATCCCACGGCCCCTACACCCTCACTCCTGGGATGCCTGGGACTTCCAGGAAGGAGGTTGTACTCTGGAAGACAAATTCTGGTTTGGGGCTCTGGAGAAAACCACCACTGGGATTGCTCCCCCTTCTCACCACAGGCAACCCTGTCTCCTCCCAGCACAGTACCAGTCGTCTGCGTTTCTGGGAGCCTGATCTGCTGGCTCCACGCAGAAAAAGGTGTTCCCTGAGGTGGGTGTGCTGTGCTGAGGAGTCTGGGATGTGCACCATGACAGAGGGGACCTTCCTTTGCTGGTTCAGCACGATGGGTTTCAAGCTGGTATCTGGTATTTCTAGAGAGAGAAGAGAGGAAAGAATTAAACTAACCTGAGTGTCCTCAGGACAACTGAGAAGAGAGATCAACCCATGTAGGAGACCCCACCCTGTGTCTCATTATACCTGATGCACATCAAAAAACATGTCCTACAAGTGTGAGTGGCAGGACAGTCTGGAGAGGCACAGACTGGAAAGCAACAGACCAGGTTGCTCCAGGAAAGTTAAGTGTGAGAGCTGCTTTTCAAAGTGACTGGGCCATATGTCTCTGCTTCCCAAAGCTGGGGGCCTACTAAAGGCCAAAAAGAAACTGCAAGAGATGTGGAGGGAGATGTCCCCACATTTTGCTCCTCACCTTTTGGAGACCCTCCTGCCTTCTCTTGGTCACCTTTGCCCACCTCTCCCCTCAAGTATCTCTCCACCATCCTATTGGACCTTCCAAAGGAAAGGTGGCTACAACATCTGCCCGTCCTCTCCTCTTGCAAAGCAAACCATTGTTGACTTCATAAAGGGGTCCCAGTTCTCAGGATCTTGTAGAGCACCACCAACCTTCAGCCACCCCGAAAGACAACCCAGGACACTACCTGCAAGAGAAATCCTATCAGGGATGTGCATGTGAGAGGAAGGAGGGACATCCTCTGCCACTGGCTCCTCATCCACAGGGCTGAAGCCATCTGCTACCTTCAGCCTGTTGGGAACCTGCATCCTTTGATTGATGGCTTCTGTGAAGAGCAGGTCACAATGGACTCGGTTCATGTCCAGTCCCCAAAGTGGCCACATGGTATTTTCTGTTTCCTCAGATTGCTTGAGCACCCTGAGTTTTCAAACAGAGGAAAAGAAAGCTGAGTGAAAATGGTAGCAAGCAGCTCTTCCAAACTGCCACCTGCACAGGGACAACACATGGGCTATAAGACAGCTAAAATAACCCAAAAGACAGTCACTGTTGGAGCTGCCCTGGAGAATGGGGTGTCCCATGAAGCCCAGCTGGCAGGGACAAGGGCACAGGGCTGCTACGTGTCCTGGGAGCAAAGCACCTATTGTCTCAATTGACAGCAAGTAAAGGGCAATTGTTCAGCACACCTGTGGGAGAAGAACAGTTCAGGATACCCTAAATACTAGTGAAAATCAGATGGTTTTGCACTCAGAAGTAAAGCTTTTTGAGAGCTGGGAGCACATTTTTGTGTTCATACACCTTCAAGAAAAAATTAGGTCTTCTAAAACCAAAATGTGCATTTTATTAATAAGATTCCAGGTTATCACAGGGGAAATTGAGCACTAAACTCCTTCTCCACATACACACTTTCACTGCAGTACCCCCCAGGTCCATATCCCATTTCCCCACTCAATCCAGCACCCATCTCAAGTGAACCACAGCAAGCTGAACAGACTGCACCCTGTGCAGAGCTGCCAGATGCTGAATCATCCTCCCAGAGGGGAAAGAGAAGCACATGTCAGGTCTCCCAGGTCAGTGCTGGCTCAGGTCTTTCCCAGGAAGGGACCAGCACTGAGGAAGGACACGATCCCCAGCTTTCACTGCTCCAGGGAACAGTTGTCATGGGAGCAGGACATGGGACACAGTCACTATCAGGGCCTTTGCAGCTCAGGATGCACAACTGCCCTGTGCCTCAGTTTCCCCTTTGCCAAGTCCCAGGGTTTTGAGAAGCACTTGGGGCCACAATACCCCAACACTTTAACTGAGTGATGTGAGCAGAGGGCAGACCCCAGCCCTGCCCCAGCATCCCAAACGTGCCACCTGCATGCACAGCTCCCCTGTGCCCTCCTTGCTGCTGCCCTTTTGAGCTTCCCATGTCCCAAAAGGTCCCCATTCACTTCCAACTCAAAATCTCCCCCATAAGAGGAGTGCCCTGCCCCAGCACAGCCCTAGGAAGGAGAGGTTTTCCTCTTCACAGCTCAAGAATGTGAAATGAGAGGAGGCAAGTAAGCAGGAGTGTGCAGGGACCTTGCCTTCTCTGATCACGTCAGGGAACTATATTTAGCAGCTGGGTCTGTGACCCTGTGCTGCCAGCCCACCAGGCTGCTCCCAGCCAGCAGCAGGGCTGCTCACTGCTGCTTTTCAGGGAGCTTTGGAGCCTCTTGCCTGCCCCAGCCCCCTGCCACCCCCTGGAATATCCCCAAGGGAAGAGGAGGAGAGGGTGATCTCTGGGGAGCAGCACCACCTCTCAAAGCCCAAAGGAGCAGGTGAGGTGCAGCTCCTGAGCCATCAGCCCTGTTCCCTGCTGCAAGGCCCTGCGACTCCAGGTACACAAGGGCAGCAGAACTGGCTCCATGTCTGCAATAACCAGCACTTCCAGTGATCACCTGCCTCGGTCTGCTCTCTCATGCTCTGTCATTAAAAACCTTCTAATTAAAGGGACACTGCAGCTGCAGCAATTTTGTGCTTCCAGCCACACAGAGATGAGATCCCATCTCTGCAACTGGGCCTGCCCCAGAGGTGCTGTCAGAGACACTGTGTGTGGGGCACAGCAGCACCTGCCTGCCCCACACCTTCACCACCCTGCTCAGACCCAACACTGGCGTGGGTGACACCTGGTGTCACAACACACACACACACCCTGCTGCTCTGCAAAACCTCAAAGAGGGCAATGAGCCGTACTTGGATGGTACCACAAGTCCTGGGACAGTCCCAAAACAGTGTCAGTCCCACAAGGAGAAACTTACATCACTCAGCCCAACAGTCCAAAACTATGGAGACCACCAAGTTCTCTGCTAGACACTTTTGGTGCTCTAGAGGAGCAAACACCCTGCGTTGCTTTCTCAGCCTGCTCTCCGAGAAACTAGCGTGCATTAATAGCAATCAATCAGGAGAGGGCAGATTGGCTCGTTCTCTAATCACCTGTGAAACTCCTGCAGCTCCCAAAGAGCACAGGGGTGGGCGGGGAGTAAGAAGCAGGTTCTGAAAGACGAAGCTACTAAGAAAAAAATCACCTGTCGAAACCCATAAAAAACCCAAATGCTTAAGCGGCTGGAGTTCCTCCTTGAACTTTCTTCAGGTTTCTTTCTAGCTACTGCCCAACAACCCCCCCTCGCCGCTGGCAGCAGACACTGCTGCCCAGACCGCTGCCCCGTGCGGCTGCAGCCCAAGGGGATTCCTGGCACTAAGCCCGGGAGTGGCTTAACTGCTGCAAGCCGGAAAAACCTGCCCCGGGGAGGAAAACCCCACAAGCTCCCTCTCTCCGCCCCTCCCCAGCCCAGGATGCTCCATACAAGGCAGGCGGGGGTACCAGCCTGGTGTCCCCCCCTTCGCCTCTCCGGTTGGGGTGCACAGCCGGCTGCTAGAGGAGCTTGGACCTCTCGCTTGTCACGCAGAGAGGGTCCAAAAGGGAGAGGAAAGGCTTTTGTCACCCTGCTCAGGTCCTGCCACGCACAGCTGGGGTGACCCCTCTGCCCCCCGGGTACCCCCCGCTTCGAGATGCGCGGAGCAGCAAAGGGCTCCGGGGACCCCGGGAACTGCCCCAGGGGCGCTGAGAAACCCGGGCTGCGGGACACAGGTGAGGGCAAACAGCCCCCGGGGGCCGGTTCTGGGGCACAGAGGGGCTCCTGGGACC